TGAGCATAGTTGCAGCAGCATAGTTGCTTCAGGGGGGGGGGGGGATTGCAAGTTCAATTGAGTTGAGTTGTTCAAAAAAAATCCTCTGTTCAAACGAGACATCAAAAAACTTTGCCTGCATGCTTTGAAAAAAGTAGTCTGAAACTAGAGAATAAAGTCTACACGCTGAAGTTTCTCTGCTATTAGCGGGCAAAAGGGATTAACGTTCTCATAATTGAAAACAACATGTAAATTGCCTACATGGTGAAGTTGAAAACAACATAAGAAACGTGAACCTTTCTCTCGGAATATGTGTGTTGGTAGGCGACTTCGTGCTGTGATTTTAGTGGTGTTGTGAGCGACTTTAGCAAGTGATGCTTGATTGAGTTGGCTCTCAGCGGGGCCAGCGGTGGGGCAGATGTTGGTAGGGGGTGGGAGTTAGTTTCACCCGGTTAGGCGACTTTGTAATCGGGCCAAGGCGACTACGTGTAAGGTCTTAGGCGGCTCTTTGTGTGTGACTTGGGCTTGGGCGAGTTAGTGTTTTGTGATACTTTAGGATTGCGACAACTCTGTGTCGCAAATTTAGGGGGTGTTGTAAGCGACTTTAGCATGTGGGCTTGATCGCGTTAGTTCCACCGACTAGGCGACTTTGTAGTCAGGCCAAGGCGACTACGTGTAGGGGCTTAGGTATCTCTTTTTCAGTGATTTGGGGCTTTGGGCGACTTAATGTATTGGAATACTCTAGGATTGCAGCAACTATGTGTTGGTTGGTAGGCGACTCTGTGTTGCGAATTTAGGGGTGTTGTAAGCGACTTTAGCATATGGGCTTGGTCGAGTTAGTTCCCCCGGTTAGGCGGCTTTGTAGTCGGGCCAAGGCGACTATGTGTAATGGCTTAGGTGGCTCTTTTGTGTGACTTGGGCTTGGGCGAGTTAGTGTTTTGTGATACTCTAGGATTGTCGCGACTATGTGTTGGTTGGTAGGCCACTCTCTATCGCAAATTTAGGGGTGTTGTAAGTGACTTTACCATGTGGAATTGGTCGAGTTAGTTGCTCCGGTTAGGCGACTTTGTAGTCGGGCCAAGGCAACTACGTGTAGGGGCTTAGGTATCTCTTTTTGAGTGATGTGGGGTTTTGGGCGACTTAGTGTATTGGGATACTCTAGGATTGCGGTGACTATGTGTTGGTTGGTAGGCGACTCTGTGTCGCGAATTTACGGGTGTTGTAAGCGACTTTAGCATGTGGGCTTGGCCGAGTTAGTTCCCCCGGTTAGGCGATTTTGTAGTCGGGCCAAGGCGACTATGTGTAAGGGCTTAGGCGGCTCTTTTGTTTGACTTGCGCTTGGGCAAGTTAGTGTTTTCAGATACTCTAGGATTGCGGCGACTATGTG